GGATTATAGGATTTCTTGTGAGAGATCCTCTGTGAGTCTGATGGGCTTCCCTTTGTGGGTAACCCGACCTTTCTCTCTAGCTGCCCTTAGCATTTTGTCCTTCATTTCAGCCCTAGTGAATCTGACGATTATATGCCTTGGGGTTGCTTTTCTTGAGGAACATCTTTGTGGTGTTCTCTGTATTTCCTGGACTTGAATATTGGCCTGCCTTGCTGGGTTGGGGTCTTTAAAAGTTTTTTAAAGTTCTTGATTCCTATGTAATAGCACTTACCTTAAAATACGCATAAATTGTACATCTGCAAAAACATTTTCTTTTGTTACATCCTTATTCTGTAAACTTTTGAATAAGTTTTTTCCACTTTTAATAACTTTTCATAAAATCTAAGTGAGAGACACAAACACATCAGCCTAGACTTGCGCAAGGTTAAGATCATCAATAACATTGTCTTCCACCTCTACATCTTGTCCCACTAGAAGGTCTTCCAGGGCATTAATACACATGGAGCTGTCATCTCCTGTGATAACAATGCCTTCTTCTGGGCTGGTTGCAGTAGCTCACACCTATAAACCAAGCACTTTGGAAGGCCAAGGTGGGTGAATCGCTTGAGCCCAGGAATTCAAGACCAGCTTGGGCAATGTGGCAAAACCCTGTCTTTACAAAAATTAGCCAGACATGTTGGCATGTGCCTGTAGTCCCAGCTACTTGGGAGACTGAGGTGGGAGGATTGCTTGAGCCTAAGAGGTCATGCCATTGCAGTTCCAACCTGGGTGACAGAGTGAGACTCTGTCTCAAACAAACAACAAAAAAATGCCTTCTTCTGTCATATCTCCTTAAGGACCTGCCTGAGGCAGTTTTACAGTTAACTTTAAAAGAAAAAAAAATGTTAGAGCAATATATTCTAAAATAACAATAAAAAGGTATAGTATAGCATATACGTAAGCCAGTAACATAGTTGCTTAATTTCATTATCAAGTATTAAATTCTACTGAACATAATTGTATGTGCTATGGTTTTGTTTTGTAACTAGACAGGGTCTCGCTCTGTCACCCAGGGTGGAGTACAGTGGTGTGATCATAGCTTACTGCAGCCTTGAATTCCTGGGCTGAAGTGATCCTCCCCACCTCAGCCTCCCAAGTAGCTAGGACTACAGGTGCATGACTTCATGTCTGCCTGATATTTTGATATATTTTTTTTTTTGTAGAGTGGATCTCTTTATGTTGCCTGGGCTGGGCTGCTCTCAAACTTTTAGCCTCAAGCAGTTTTCCCCCCATGGCCTCCAAAAGTATTGAAGTTATAGGCGTGAGCAACTACCCCAGGCCATGTCTGTGCTATACTTTTATACTACTGTCTGTGCTGTAGATTTGTTTACACCAGCATTACTGCAAATGCATCAGTAATGTGATGTGTTGTGACAGCCATCACATTACTATGTGTGGGAATGTTCAACTCAGTTATAATCTTATGAGACCACTTTTGTAAATGCAGTATGTTACTGACTAATACATAATTACGTGATGCCTAACTGTAGTGAATTTTCAAAAATGGAAAGTTACCAAGGGGAGTTTAATGAGGTACTTTCAGTGGCATGGAGGAGACTAGCAAAGCCAGTGTTTAGTGTGGTAAGTACAGCTGGGATCTGGACAGAGGTATTACAAGATACTTTGAAATTCCTGTTTTTCCACTCTTGTGCATTTTATGGGTATTTCAGTTTTGTCAATTTTTCTTTTGTACACTCTATTTTCTTTTTCTATTTACCTATCGTTTGTATCTCAAAAACACTGGTATAGATCTTAACCTCTCAGCTAGTCTGTGTTTTGAAAGATTCCAGCATGAATTCTGAATTCAATGATATTCACCAAATATAAAATCACAGGAAATATAAAATAATCTGAATTTGAGACATCAAAATATTGGAGCTATCTAAAACCAAGAAGAAAGGAAACCTTAGTAACTTTCCTACAGTCAGTTTTGGGTTTATAATTGATATGTCTATCAGTTATATATGAAAATGACCTTGAGAATTTTTTTTCTTGAAAGGAGGTGAAATATTTATTTTTCTTTTCTCTTTGGTCCTTGATTCAGGAGGAGACGAATAAATCAAAGGTGCTTTTTTCCTTTTAGGAAACTTATTGATATATACATTTCAGAAGGATGATATCAGATTGTATAATTAAGTGGTACTAATATATAGGATAGTATAGGATAATATCATTTATATTAGTATTTCTTATGCCTGGCATGAAATCAAGTCTTAGAAAATGCTTATTGAAAGAATTAGGAGTAGGGATAGGAAAGAACCCAAGAATGAGGATGGCTTTTTAAATAATTGAATTATGAAATCATTATTATATTTCTCCTTAGCGTATTATTCTTTTGTGTCTGCCTTTTACATTTTCCTGGTGGTCTTAAGTCCCTGAGACACTTCCATTTCTTTCTGGCCCCAACACCATGCTGACTGTTTTAGTCTGTACCCTTCATTACAAAGGGCAGGATGTAGAAGTAGTCAGGTATTAGTCCAAGCCCACTTAAGTGTCCTAATGAGGTGCAGTCACTGTGACATCTGCACAGAAGTTTCTGGCTGTGCTTACCTTTGTAGCAGTATTTGGAAGTGCTGTTGACTTGTGGTTTCTTCTCATTCATTTCTCTGTTTCTCTCATGCTTTGGAGGATCTTTCCAATGTTTCTTATGTCTTGAAGGCATTTATGGCAATTTGGAATTGCCTGTTATCTTTTCATGGATTTTCGAGGTTTCAGCTGGGGGTAGGGTAGACTCACAGTAGAATTGAGTTAGACTATTCTACCAGTCTTCTAGCATACTCCCCAAGTCTTCATTTTATGAATTCAGGTTTTGATTTTGTCCCCCATTGGTTGAGTTGCTGCCAAATTCATTTGTTTCTTTGTGGTAAGTACCTCATTTCTTTTAAAGCTCGGGAAGAGGCAATTTTTTTTTCATATTTTTATTTGTCTTCATTTAAAAGGCTCTTTAACTTTCTTTTAAAAGTCTGTGTTTTTGTTGTTGTTGTTTTTCCTTATAATCTGGCTTTCTGTTCTTGCAGTCAAACTGGAATGCACGCAGGTCATCTTAATTCATTTTACCTTTTTCTCTGCACATGATACTACACTGACTTCCCTTTGTTAGGAAGGAAAACACATTGTTTTATTCAGATGTCTTTCATATACTTGCAAAAATGTTAAGGCTGGGGGTTGAGTGCATCTCTAGGATAAATGGTCCTTTTGTGGAAGAAAATTGAGAGAATTATGGGTTAGTGTGCTGACAGTTTGATTTCTTTTCTTTTTTTTTTTTTTTTTGAGTTGGAGTCTTGCTCTGTTTTTCAGGCTGGAGTGCTGTGGCTACAACCTTTGCCTCCCAGGTTCAAGCCATCCTTGTGCCTCAGCCTTCTGAGTAGCTGAGATTATAAGTGCATGCCACCATGCCCAGCTAATTTTTGTAATTTTTTTTTTTAGTAGAGATGGGGTTTCACCATGTTGGCCAGGCTGGTCTCTTACTCCTGGCCTCAAGTGATCCACCCGCCTCGGCCTCCCAAAATGTTGGGATTATAGGCGTGAACCATTGTGCCTGGCCTTGATTTCTTGCTTCTGTTTTGAGGGGCTTTCCTGTCTTGGTGTCTGTGAATAAATATTGTACTTATATATTCACTCAGTACTAAATGCTGGGAATTTAAAGATGATTACACGTAGTCCATGTCCTCAAGGGACTGTCCTGTGCTTAACATTTTCAAGTTAGTCATTTTCATTAGTAATTGTTTAGTGTCTGTTCCCCTCTTCCCCATATTGTAAGTTCTTTATGGGCACACCTAACTTAGCTTTTTCGGTAGCACCTAACACAGTGCCTGATGATAGTTCCTCACTGAATAGTTTTTGATGGAATACCTGACCATACTGTCTTTTCATGAGGTCATTTCGTGGTAGAACATGTGGCACAATGCTTTGCATGTATTAGAAAATCAGCAAATTTGTTAAATCAGTTAAAAATATGGAAATGTTCACCTTGCCCTTTAGAGAGAGTGAATAAAAGGAAAAAAGCAGGTGAGAAAACATCTCCACTGTAGGCTCTTGAAATCTGTGGATTGGGCAATAGAGTATTTAACATTTGGTGAAGTTGCCTAGTCACATCTCAAGACCTTAGAACCTCCTGTAAAAGGTTTTAAATGCTTACTTTCTGAAAAATGACTGGAAAGAAATAAAGTTGCTATTAATAGGTAAGGAAAGTGTAACATCTAAGAATGTAATGATTCTCAGCTGGGAAATAAAAGTTTTAGAGATATTATCCCACAGAGTGAAATACAGAATTTAGTCATGTCTTGAACTCATGTTACTTTATGTGGAAACTGCAAATATTTTAGGCCATTAGTTGATTAAGTACAAGATAACACTTGAAGGGTAAAGAGATTATGTTGGAATATGATTTGTCAAGGTAACATGCTGATAAACATAGAAAATATGATTTGGGAGGTCAGGAGCATATATAAACCTTTCTGTATTTCTGAACTGTGGGGTTTAGAAAATCTCAGAATATTGTGGGGATATTTCAGAGGTTTGCTGTAATTGAGGTTACAAATGGAAATTTGCTTGTGTTCTTCCGGTCTCCTTCCTTCTTGTCTCCTTTTACACCTTTCACTTATACATTCTCCAGTTTGCTCAACCCCGCTCTGGTTTCCTGCTTCCTTTTCCCTCAATCCCTTACTCTCCACATCTTTTATGGCAAATTATTTTCCTTCCTGGAAGGACTCACTGGATAAAAGGCTTGTTAAGTCAATTATGGGAAAGTGAGAAGAATAGGAATAAATGCTACTTTATCTTTTCTTTTTATTCCTTGCTTTGGAGAAAGGGAATGTTCTTTTATTTCTGAAAATTTATATGGTCTGTGACTCTAATAATAAGGGTAAAAAAATGTGATTTGAAATAAATTTTTTTGTTTGATATTAATGATGTTTAGTCATTTAAAAATGATTAAAAACTCACGATATACTTTCTTTTAGGTCCGTATTGAAACAGCTACAACTTTGAAGTTAAATATCCTTCTGAAAATTTAAAAATACTTTATTGAAAAGAACTTTCATACTTTCAAGTTATTGTTTTGTGAAATTAATTTATGTATATTGTTTATATGTATGTTTATTTTGATAAAAATTATATATTCTTAATATTCCTTAACTGCTCTTTACCTGTTGATGATTTTGAATTTAGAACAGATCAGTTTCTACCGGTAAGAATATATGCTTCGAGGTTTTCTTTTTAAAACAATTTCTGCCTATATCTTTGATATTGTATTATTTTATAGATGAAATTATGTGTTACTTATTAAAGTTACATTTAAAAGTATGCTGTATTGGATTATATTGGAGGACATAACTTTTATTTGTAAACTGTTTTGGTAACTTTTATTGGTAACAGTTCACTCATATTCTGCTTATTTTTGTTTAGCAATTTTGTCATCTATGTTGAAGTTGGTTGCCAAACCTTTTTTCGACATTCAAAAACATCTAGTATCTTCCTTTTTTTGTGTGTCTGTAACTTTTACTTTTTAGGTTATTTCTCTGTGTTGAGTATGTATATCTGTATCCTATCCTACATACTTGATTGTAAATTACTTGATGAGCTGAATACCAAGTTCTACTCATCTTTTTACTCTTTACTCAACCCTCAGCACTGAGCATGGTGTTTTCCCATAATTGGTACTCAGTAAGTACTTGTTAAACATGTCAGTAACATTGGGGTGTTAGTATTTATTCTAAAGAGGATTAGGGGAGAAGAAAGTTACGTGATAAAATGTCTCTCTGTACTTCTTTTGTACAGATAAATAAAGATTTTTTTGTACAGATAAATGTCTATCTGTACTTCTTTTGGTGAGGGGGATAGATAGGGGAGCTTGTAGAGCAGTTATCTTGCTTTAATACGAAGTCACTAGACAATTTTTGGATGAAAGGAATGTGTTGTAGAAATTTGTATTAAAATGAGCCATATATCTGAAAGAACAAATGCTTGCTTTATGTAAGTGTATGTGATTTGTTAGTTTCTTTCTTTCTTTATTTTTTTTTGAGATGGAATTTCGCTCTTGTTACCCAGGCTGGAGTACAATGGTGCGATCTCGGCTCACCGCAACCTCCACCTCCTGGGTTCAGGCAATTCTCCTGCCTCAGCCTCCTGAGTAGCTGGGACTACAGGCGGGCACCACCATGCCCAGCTAATTTTTTGTATTTTTAGTAGAGACGGGTTTCACCATGTTGACCAGATGGTCTCGATCTCTTGACCTCGTGATCCACCCGCCTCGGCCTCCCAAAGTGCTGGGATTACAGGCATGAGCCACCACACCCGTCTGATTTGTTAGTTTCTTACATAATTTTCATAATATAAGAGTTCACAGCCAGACATAGGATATTTGGTTTTGATTTCCTAGTAAGAACTATTCTGCCATTTTTAGAATAACAGGTTATATCTATAAAAATGTATGTTTTCATGCAGTATATGTTAAGGGCCACATCAGCTAGCTGGCATGTAAGTGCAATAATTAATGTCTTTTTGCTGTACTGAGTAGGTCTTGCAAAACAAAATATTTTGTGATTGACAATGGGCATATGTGGAAGAACAGTGACAAGGCACTGCTAATAGTTAACAGTATAAATTTAAACATACACATCTTAGACAATATTCCACTAAACATTATTCAGTTTGTGGATGAGTTATATTCTGAAATGGACACATTTAGCAGCAATGAAGAAAGAAAATAGTTTTTTTTTTTTGAGACAGAGTCTTGCTCTGTCATCAGGTTGGAGTACAGTGGTTTGATGGAGGCTCACTGCAATCTCTGCCTCCTGGGTTCAAGCGATTCTCCTGCCTCAGCCTCCCAAGTAGCTGGGACTACACCGCATCCAGCTAATTTTTTGGCATTTTTGGTAGAGACGGGGTTTCACCATGCTGGCCAGGATGGTCTTGATTTCTTGACCTTGTGATCCACCTGCCTCAGCCTCCCAAAGTGTTGGGATTACAGGTGTGAGCCAGAAAACACTTTTTTACATTTTAGAAGCTTGAATAATTTCAAGTTGTTTAGGTAATGCCAAGCTTTTGGCTTTTTGCTTATTTGACTTTTACTGCTTTAACCTTATGATTTATTTCTTCTGTTTGTATGCATGTAGAGGTCTATTGATTTCTATTCTAAACCTTTTTTATTTCATTTTATTTATTTTCACCTGCAGTATTTGGAAACCATGTTCACACTACTTTTTCAGCTACTGCAGCAAGTTACAGAATGTGACACAAAGATGCACGTTTTGCATGTCCTTTCTTGTGTCATTGAAAGAGTCAATGTGCAGGTAATTATATTGTAAAATATGAAAATAAATGTCTGACAGGTGAGTAGAGTATATGTAAAGTTCCTTAGTATCCTTGACTACATTGTTTAAGAGTTAAAACATTAATTGAAAAGCTTCTAACTTATCGATTGTCGTTTCAGTTATGTATTACTCAAAATTGACATTTATATTCAAGTTTTAAAAAATGACTAAGAAAATTAACATATTAAAAAATTGGATCAACAATATAGAGGTATTCATAAAGCAGAATTTTTGATATTTTAGAAGATTCAGCTAATGTAAAATTCAGTGTATTTGAGAGCATAGCCAGAAGTGCCCATCAGCAAGACTTCTGGAAAGTCTGCTATTTTTACCTTAACCATTAAGTATGTTTTGCCATCTAGTCTGCATTATATTTACTTTTGGCTTAATGTAAAAATGATGTGTAAAGCTCTTAACAGTTCAATTATTCAGCTTCTCCAGTCACTCTGAATCTTTGTGAAAAATTGTTAATCCAGTAAACCACACTGTAATTATCCTTGTGGCTTTCTATATTCTAGTTCACCATTGCATATCCTTGTTTGGAAGGCACTGGAGCAAATCTGTGATTTGCTTTGTATTAGGAAAGATAATTGATTTGGATTTCACAGACTTAGAGTTTACTCTTGGATCTGCTATTAATGAATTGTGACACCTTGAGCAGATTTATTAATTCTAAAGAAATTGATGAGAATAGCTATTAATTATTCTGTAATGACAACATACTGACATATGTGTTGAATGCTTTGTGTATATTTCTTATGTAGTTCTCACAAAAAACTTGAGGTAGATGTTAGAATTTATTTTCTCTAACAATTTGAAACTTGAAGGAACTTTTCAAAGTTCACATAATTTAATAGCACTGCTCATACGTAAACTCAGCATAATGCCACTCCTGTGGTAGGGTTGAGTCACTGTTAATCATTTGAAACAGATCTGCATACTGTTGTCTAAAAGTAGTAATATCTTGCATGATTCTTAGTACTTGGTGTTCTTAATACATTAATCACATTATTTCATTTGATGCTGTTTTTCACCAACATTGAGAGAGTTTGGTCACACAGAGTTCATTGCAGCTGTTTTAAGAACTCATTTTAAGTCCTTGCCTCCACTATTTAGTTTGGGCAGTCTTTAACCTTGTGTCCTCATATATAAAATAGTAATGATAATTCTGAACTCACCTGACTTAGGATTTCATGAGCATGAAATTATTATACATGTCCAGTATGCTTCAGAGTACTAAAAACTGCAATAAATTGTTTAAAAAGTTGATTATAAAAACAAGATTTGGCCATTTTCTTTAATTTTATTTAGATATATATGGCTGATGGAAATTTCTTAAGTAAAACTTTTTTAAATAGAAATGGATTTTCTTACCTTTGCCTCCCCAAATTTCGAATTAAACCTTTTTCTCCAAAAGTGTGTTATTATTTTGGCTTGGTAAATTTAAAAATACTTTTGTGTTTCTGTCTACACTCATCTTTAGAAACACAAATAGCCTAAGCAGCTCATTTGCTGTATCATCAGAAAGTAACAATTAGATATAGTTATTCAGTAAAGTTTTTGCTTTTCAAAACTTACGCTAAATAGGAAATGGTTAAAAAATACTTTCAGTTGTCTGATTCTTTAACTTTTTTCCATGTTAACCTTTGATCAACCCTGTCATTGTTATCATTGTTGCATATGTACCTCAACTCTCTTTCATATGCCAAATTTGATGTTTGTCCATGAGGCAACAAACTTTTTAAAAAATGTTAACAAATTTTATCTTTTTTGAGACAGAGTCTTGTTCTGTCACCCAAGCTGGAGTGCAGTGCTGCATGTCAGCTGACTGCACCCTCTGCCCCAATCCCCTGGGTTCAAGTGATTCCTGTGCCTCAGCCTCCTGAGTAGCTTGGATTATAGGCATGTGCCACCATGCCTGGCTGATTTTCTTCTTTTTTTGTACTTTTAGTAGAGACAGGGTTTCGCCGTGTCAGCCAGGCTGGTCTCGAGCTCGGGTTTAAGGGATCCACCTGCCTTGGCCTTCCAAAGTGCTGGGATTACAGACGAGAGCCACCACACATGGCCTGAATTATCCTTTTGATATTAGGCAGCGAACATTTTGTGCCATCTTACAATAGTGCTTTCTGACACATACAGTTTAATTTTGAAGTTTCAGTAAAGTCACCATCTTTGTACCATATGTACAATTATTTGAATATTGTTTTTGCTTTTTGAGAAAGTAGTTGAAAACTTACAGTTAACTTTTCTAGTACAGAAAGCTTATAAATATGTAGTCAAAATAAATATGTAATCATCAGATGTGATATCAGGCAGTCTTTGGGCTTGTGCATTTCCTAAGTGAAAGAACAAAATTAAAGGGCCTCTGTGAAATATAAAATACTCTATTGAAAATAGTGTCTAAAAGATGATGTGTCTTTGGAGACTTAGAGTAATTTTTTTAATCCCAGTGATAGAGCCCTCTTTAAAACATTTGTTAGATTGTCACATACTTGATTTTCATGTTGTCAGAGGTGAATGATAGTGGAGCTTTCCCTATGTATGAATTAACTCATAAGGCCATAAAGTGCTTCCCCAACACCCCAAATTCTTTGGTAAGAACACTTAACATGAGATCTGTCCCCTTAACAAAACTGTAAGTGTAGAATACATTATTGTTGACTTTTGGTTCAACATTCTATAGCAGAACTCTAAAGCTTATTCATCTTGTTTACCTGAAACTTTGTGCCTGTTGATTAGTAACTCATTTCCCCTTCCCCTTAGTCCCTGGCAACCATCATTCCACTCTTTGATTCTATGAATTCCACTATTTTAGATAACTTCATATAAGTAGAATTGGCAGTGTTTGTCTTTCTGTGGGTAGTTTGTTTGATTTAGCATATTGTTAGCAAGGTATATTCACAATGTCCCATATTGCAGAATTTCTTTCTGTTTTTAAGGCCGCATAGTATATGTATGCCCTTATGTAGGCAATACCACATGTTCTTTATCCACTCATCTGTTGTTGATGGATATTTCGGCTGCTTCCACATGTTGGCTATTATGAATAAACATGGTAGTGCCAATAATTTAATAGGATTGCTGGAAGATATGGTGGTTCTAGTTTTCAGTTTTTTGGGAATCTCCATGCTACTTTCTATAGCAGGTATAACATTTTACATCCCTACCAACAGTCGTACAAGGGTATCAGTTTCTCCATACAGTTGCCAACACTTGCATTGTCTTTTTTTTTTTTTTTTTAATGATAGCCACCTTGACTATTTTTGATTTGCATTTTGGTTTTGATTTGCGTTTCCTATTGACTGCAGAAACTTTCTTATTAGTTCTATGTGATTTTTTAAATGTTTTGCAAATAATTGAAATTAGCCTTCCCTTAAAAACCTTGTATTATAATCCTATTCATAATTTTATATGGATAGTATTTTTTCTTTCACCTCTTTTCATTGAAAATTCTCAAACCTACAAAAAAGTTATAAGAATAGCTCACCACTCATATATCCTTCACTTAGTTTCATCACTTACTAATATTTTACATTTGCTTTCTTTTTTCTATCCACATGTACAGATTGTTGTTGTAAAACCATTTCAGTTTTAGTTGCAGACATCATGGCACTCTCCAGAATATTAGATGTCTCCTTCTTAAGAGATGTATGTTCCATTTCCTACATTATTATAACTGCGATTAGACTCAGGAAACTTAACACTGATGTAATACTGTTAACTAATATCAAGTCAGTATTCAGATTTCCTTAGTTCCCCCCATTAGTTATCCTCCCACCCCACTGGAATATGTTTGACTCTGATGTCCCTGCTATGTTATTTTTAATGCCTAGTGTTTTTCTTTTTTTTTTTCTTTTGTATCTTTCACAGCATTCTATGATTTATATTTTTGTTTGTTTTTTGAGATGTAGTCTCGCTTTGTCACACAAGCTAGAATGCAGTGAGGCTGTCTTAGCTCACTGCAACCTCCTAGATTGAAGCAATTCTTTTGCCTCAGCCTCCCGAGTATCTGGGATTACAGGTGCCTGCCACCACACCCAGGTAATTTTTGTATTTTGAGTAGAGGTGGGGTTTCCCCACTTTGGCCAGGCTGGTCTTGAACTGCTGACCTCAAGCGATCCACCCACCTTGGCCTCCCAAAGTGCTGGGATTACAGGTGCGAGCCACTGTGCCAAGCCACTGTGATTGATTTTGGAGTACTGTTTTTGTAGCATTAATTTTAATTTAGAATATTGTATATTCTAATGACAGCCTAGATTAGAATAGAAATATTTTATCAATTTTAAATGTAACTGGGTACTTTGGTTTTTATTACCCCATTTGTAATTTATGGTATATATTTCTTTTCTATAATTTCTAGGAAAGTATCCTCTCTATTTAAAACCAAAACTACCTTATTTTCCTTATCAGTAGATTGTGTTGTCATATGCTTATTTTTAGTTGTTTATGAATGAGTTAGATACTTTGAAATGTTTTTATGTATTAATTGGCCTGCTTTTATGAGCTAATTGGAGTGATCTTTGAGATAGATCACTTAGTGATATTGAGCACATGGTCTAGAAATAATAGTCAAATTTTGAAAATAAGGTATTACTTGATAAATGTGTGAAAATAAGATAGTTTGTGTCTTAATATTTATTCACTTATATCTTACTGAGATGTTTGGGCAAATATTTACTTCTTACTTTTCTGCATTTCCCACCACTACTTCCATCACCAGGAGAGGGGAACAAATTTTATAGTTGTTTGGCTACCCTTTTAGAGTATTTTGCTAGCAGAATAAAGAAAATCTCCCTTTCTGGGAACATTTTAAATTTTAATCCGTGATATTCAAATAGATAGTAGTGAAGCTGTGAAGGTCTAGTCTTTCTATTTCATCCCCAAGGATACTCTTAAAGCAATTTGAAATACTGTGATACTAAGATTATAGCAATTTCAAATACTGGAGTTGAAATGCTGTCCAGCATCATTGTAGATCCATTTTGTTTTTCAGGAAACTACTGTCAGACTCAGCTGTGCTTCAGAGTAAAATCTAAAATCTGATTAACTTAATCTGTAGTGAGTTTAGCAGTTTTATCCTTTGAAATGGTTTCTTCCTCTGTGTTTCCACTGTACCTTGTATACACCTTCATCATTGCACTTATCCTTTTTCATTGTAAGAGTTTGTAAAGCTCTCTTTGTATCCTTTTTTTCCCAGTGCCTTGTGCTCAGGGCCTGAAACTCGGAAGATGTTTGTAGAATAAATGAATAAATGCTGACTTTTTAAAAAAAAACAATAGTATAATTTCCAATTAGGTAAGCTGTTTTATTAAAGAAGAAGCAGGATATTACAGCGTTTTCTGTTATCTAAAGAATTTTTTTTATATTCATAAATTTTATTTCATTCAGTACACTTGATGCTTGTTTAAAATTATTTAAAAATATTTGCTATAGAGCCCTGGGTCTTTATGTAATATCTAGTTTATTTCATAAGGAATTGAGCATAATACATTGTATTTAGTAAATATTAAATATTTGCTGCCTGGGACTTAACAGTGTTTTCAAAGTAAAGTGCCTTTTTTACTAATACAATTTTGTTGCTTCCCCTACTTATATTGTGATAGATACGACCATATGTGGGATGCTTGGTACAATATTTGCCCCTCCTTTGGAAGCAGAGTGAAGAACACAATATGTTGAGATGTGCTATTTTGACAACACTTATTCATCTTGTGCAGGTAAGTCACTTCTCCACAGGGTTTTTTTTTTTTAGTTTAGTGGGTTTTTAAAAATTCTTTTAAACATTTAAAAATTGTTTTTATGTGATTTATGTTAATGGTACTGGAATACATCACATTTTACTTTTACCTTTTTTTCCATGTATGATCTAAACAGATTTAAAAACAACTTTTGCATGCTTATTTTGGACATTTTTTTTGAGGATGTGAAAAATATTATTCACTTTTAAAGTAGATGTCTTCTATTAGATGTAGTTGTCTCCGGTGATGATAGACTCATGGTTCGTGCAGTCCACGGTACTATGCATGCAGTTCCTTTCTGCTTGAACATACTTTATGTTTTCACTCTTTTTCCTTGATTTAAAATAAAAAATTTCTCAATTATAACTTGGGAAGGTAGGAAACCACGTGAGTTGCTTTTGAGGGGAGACGAGCAAATTGGATTTCAAACATTTTGACTTTGAGGTGTTGGGATGTGTAGAAGGTAGAGAGGAACCTGAAACTTTGAACTGGACTGTAGTTCTCATTTGAACTGTTATTAAAGTGAATTGTAGTCTGGTAAAAGCATGAAGAGGGAAGAGCTCAAGGCCATGAGTTAGAATATATGTGTGGGGATGCTCAAATGATTTTACTGACCTCACCCATAAATTTGAGAAATTTTCCACTGGGGGAGAATTTAGAAGTATCCTTCAATTCAGAATTACTACTCTAAAGCTTTCTTAAATTGTTTAGAAAAACACCAGAAACTTTTCTTAGAAGCTTTGATACTTTTTGAACATGACCTAATTCTTTCCATAAATCTTTTCTTTTCTTTTTTTTTTTTTTTTGAGACTGTGTCTCGCTCTGTTGCCCAGGCTGGAGCTCAGTGGCATGATCTCAGCTCACTGCAACCTCCATCTCCTGGGTTTGAGCAATTCTCCTGTCTCAGCCTCCCAAGTAGCTGGAATTATGTGTGCAGGCTACCACACTGGGCTAATTTATGTATTGTTAGTAGAGATGGGGTTTCACCATGTTAGCCAGGCTGGTCTCAGACTCCTGACCTCAAGTAATCCAGCCACCTTGGCCTCCCAAAGTGCTAGGATTATATTTGTGAGACATTGCGCCCAGCCCCTCTATAAATATTTATGCATGAGTTTTAGTTACAGATTTCTGTCTAAGGCAGTATCAGCTAAATAGTAATGCAAAATATTTTTAATGTACTTTTCCCTTTTTTTTTCAATGTGGTAAAATACACGTAACATAAAATTTACAATTTTAAGTGTACAGTTTAGTGGTATTAAATACATTCATAATGTTGTTCAGCTATAACTACTATCTATCTCCATTAACTCTTTTTATCTTGTAAAACTGAAGCTATACCATTAAACAATAACTCCACAGCTCCATTGATAGTATCTTTGCCAAAATGTATTTTTAAGCTCAACTTGGGACTTTTGTGTGGGATATGTGACAAAACACCAACTTTTATATCTCCTCAGGCAGTAGTGTCAAGAAGTCAGAGCAACTCTTGTCAAATGTTTTACCTTTTTTCTTTAATCATGACATTGAAGTACCCTGTATATTTTTACAGGCCAAGAGTACAAGGTTCAACCAAGTAGTAATCTACCCTACTTGGAGAAAGCATGTAACGTTTAATACCAAAGTTGAGACTGTAGCTTAAAATATATTTTCATCCATTTGGGAAGGTTATACTAAAGTTTACTGGTTTACCATGGCTCATGCCTGTAATCTCAGCATTTGGGAGGCCGAAGTGGGTGATCACTTGAGGTCAGGAGTTTGAGACTAGCTTGGCCAACATGGTGAAACCCCGTCTCTACTAAAAATATGAAAATTAGCTGGCTATGGTGGTGCACACTTGTAGTCCTAGTTACTCAAGAGGGCAAAGTGGGAGAATCGCTTGAACCTGGTAGGCAGAGGTTGCAGTGAGCTCAGATGGCGCCACTGCACTTTAGCCTGGGTGACAGAGTGAGACCCTATCTCAAAAATAAAAAAATAAGTTTACTGGTAAATTTCTTACAAAATGCTTCTATCTTTTGGCTTTTGACACATAACAGACAGATAATTGTGAAAGTTCTGTATGTTTTTTTTTTAAACCTGGAAACCCAGATTCTGGTAGTCTTTGTAGAGGGTGGTCACTGGGTGAAAATAAACTTTCTAGTCTGTATAGTTGACCTTAGTGGAAGTAGGTATTCATTCATACACTAAACATTTATTGAGAACCTGCAATGTGTAATACATGGTAATAGGCACTGGGATACAGAAATGAATAGAAGAAGCTCTTTGTGTAGGTGAGTAGGGAAATACTAAATAATTGTGTTAATTGCTCTGTTAGCAATTAAGACCATACTGCTATTGGGGGTACATGTTCTGTTTGCTGTATCACGTGGAGGGTGAGGTGGGGCACATTAGGGAAGGCCTCCTGACAGAGATGTTACTCAAATTGTGATGGTGTTAAATAGTGTTAAACAACAAGTGTTATTGAGATGGTGTTTTAGGAATGAGAGTGGAAAAGTGTTTTAGACATATGAACCGAAATGTGTAAAGCTTCCTAAGCATTAGAGAATGCAGTACATTTTATTTTTTTTAAGGTTTATATATTGATCAATTTTAATGTTGATAAAGGAGTTAGTTCTTAAAGATTTTTTGAATGAAAGTATTAGAACCCTGCTCCTCTTTCTCATTTCCTTTTTGGTGGAAGAATCTACTTTCAACTCTTACAGCCAGATCATAGGTTCTCAGTCTTTCTCACTCTAACATATTATTTATTTTTGATATAAGCATTGTAGGCATTATTTCTTCACTTCTCTGCATAGAAGATGAAAATGCAATTCTTTTGTACCCTTGTGTCCTTTCTATTCCTCCATCCTCCCAATATACTTGATTGTATAAAGACTACTCAAGGCATATATCATTATGTCATGATTAATTTTCTCTTATACATGGTGTTCCCAGCTTTCACTCTTGTATTAATAATTTTGTTTGCTTAGTATACTGAGGAAGTACCATAAACTTGGTGTTTTAAAACAATATCTATTTATTAACTCATAGTTCTGTAAGTTAGAAACTGGGCATGCCGTGTCTGAATTCAGAGTTTAATGGACTGAAATTGAGGTGACTGCCAGAATAAATTCTTCACTAGAGGATTTGCAGAAGAATATGTTTCCGTACTCATTCAGCTTGTTGGCAGAATTTAGTTCCTTGATTTTTAGGATTAAGGTCCCAGTTTACTTGTTGGCTGTCATCTGGGGTCCCCTCTCATTCCCAAGTCTAGCCACATTCATTGACGCATAGCCCTTTCCATGTTCAAAGTCAGCAATGGTGTGGTTCTCGACTTTCAGATCCCCTAAGGGTTTCAATCTGTGGCTTTCCCTTATGCCACTAGGTAGAGAATGCTCTCTTTTAAAGGGTTCATGTGAGTAGGTCAGGCACACCTGGATAATCTTTCTATCTAAGGTCAGCTGATTTCAGATTTTAATTACATCTGTAACTTATTTCTTCGCAGTAGTACCTAGATTTGTATTTGAATAACTGGGGAATGAGGCATGGTGTGCATACACTGGTGGCCAAGAACCTTAGGTGGTCATCTTAGATTTCTGCTTAGTACACTTAGTTTTCTATGCAATTAAACCTATGCTTTTCACTTGTTATCTACACAGTCCCTCAGTATTGTTTTGTTACTTTCATCATCTTGAAGAGATACCACAGATTCTTATGTGCTCTAGTTTGGACTGGTTTTACTTAAGCTTTTGCATAGCTGTTACAACTGGATTTTCTTTCAGTGCCTATCCCTTCTGTGGGATGTCTGTTTTCTGTGCATCATGTCATGTCTTTTTTTTTTTTTAAACCACTAGACTACCAGAGACATGTCTTTCTTGTTTTACTTTTTTTTCTGGTGGAGGCCATGAATGGCACTGGCGTTTTATAAAAATATATGGGAAGTACATTTTTTTGAGATTTTGCATGTGTGAAATGTCTTCATTCTACTTTCACATTGATTAGTAGTTTGGCTGGTATAAAAGTCTACGTTTCTCCCTCAGAATTTTTGAGACTTTTTTTCTTTGTCTTACAGGCTTCCAAAGTTGCTCTGGGGACCCTGGAGCCATCCTAATTCTTGAATCTTGAATGTATCATCCCTCTTTCCCTTTTCTGGCAACTTGTATAATCATCTGTGTGTTCCTGTTTTAAGTTTCATGATGTGAGTGTCTTTTCATCTCACTGTTTTGGACACTTGGTGGACATTTCAAGCTGGAAACTCATGTTCCTGAATTCTAGATGACTCCATTTTATTTTATTTCCTCCTCTTCATATTTTTCTTTTCTTACTTTCTGAACTTTTTGCTACTTACAGGATAGATATTTTGAACCAGTCATCTGATTTTCTTAGTTTCTTTCCTGCTTTTTCTTCTCTTTGTCCGTATGTTCTACTTTCTAGGGAATTTTCTCAGTTTTATCTCTTAGCCTTTTTATTGAGTTTTTCTTTTATGTAGACATGTTTTCATGCCTATGAAATCTTTTGTGTTTTGCTGAATAATTGTTTTGTACAACATTTCATTTTTGTTTTCTGGATGCAGTGTTTTAATTACCAAATATAATAATGATACATTTTTCCAAGCTTTCATCTCTGCTTGGTCTCTGTTTCTTTCAAGGTACTGTTTTCTATTTAGTTTTTTTGTTGTTCTCTTTTTTTATAACAAACATTTTAATCATATCTGTTGATCCTTGGTTGCCTTCTCTTATTTACTTATTTACTCTCTATTATAAAAAATTTGAATCATACACAAAAAAGGAAGAAGAGTGTAATGAATTCTGAAGCACCACCCAACCTCAAGATCAGCATTTTGTCTATGTAAATTTAGCAGTGGGCACTAAAAAAACAGAGTGGAAGGATTGCGTATGTGGTATGGTGGGGAGGCTTGCTGATTGTGTGTTTTTTTTTTTTTTTTTTTTTTTTTTTTTTATTTGGTGGGGGAGGAAGGCAGACAGGAAAGGAATAAGGACGGT